AAGTGAAGTTGACTCTCATTTCTTTGGATTATTTCATTGCAAATACTGTGATCTTATTTACCGAATCTATTGGTGTAAGGTGGCCCTATGATTGAAATTTGCACTGCTTTAATCGTGTAATTTGATTTTACTGTAGATATCATTTTATTCGCGGTTTGCATTGTATTTCTACTTGTCATTTCTGTGTTTGCTATAAAAATGTATTTCCTATTCAATTTATGCAGAAGATATGAGTGGAGAGTAGGGGATACGAGTTGCATTCAGATCTTCGTTAGTTGAAGCTGCGATATGATCTAGTCTAATTGTTCCTAATTTTATTAGTCCAAAGGTCATTAATTAGTGCTTTTATTGTTGTTTAAAATCTGAACTACTTAGAAATCAGACTGAAGTTAATATTTATTGATATTCTAACATAAAGACCTACAGCATTTACGAAGGATTACGGAATGTTTTTTAGTTTACTCATCACGGATTCCTCCTCATTTTTTCTCAAGATTGATTACTTATTTGTGATATGAATAAAATTAGAATGGCTCACTGCTTCTCACATTTTTCGTTCTGTGATTCGCAAATATCATAATTATACGTTTTTCTTGAAGCATTTGCTGCTTATCCATTTGTATTGCATAAAGAAGTACATATGTCAGTAGCTAGAGTTATTCATCTTTAATGTTACTTTTTCAGGAAAGATGAGGTCACATTAGTTCTTTTGTTTTAATTTTGTTTTTTCTATTATTTGGTGGGTATGAAATGATGTCGATCCAAGTGTGATGGATGCGAAACGATTTAATGGCCATGAATTAGGCATATGATCTGTTCAGCTTGATTAAAGTTGGCTTTGCCAGTTTTAATTTAGCGGTTATTTCAAAGAGTTGCTGCTTTAGTAAGAAATATCGCAGCTGTTAATTGGTTTTGTGGAAATATTCTTTAGATGTTCTGTTGTTTGATGCCATAACGAAGTTCATGATGTTTTGGTTGATAATTCTTATTACATGGTCAATATTCTTATGGGATTTCTATCTATCTGTGCGACAGGTGAAAGCTTACTATTGTTACATGACTGAGAAAATTATTAAACTTAGCAAAGTGCAATTTATTTTGGTTGATGAGCGAAAATATTTCATTTTGTCAGCTACTGATTTTCGCATTTCGACGTTAATGATATCACTTGTTTCTAGTATTTCTGAAAAAGTTCAAAATTCAACCAGTCCTTTGCATTATTTTGCATATAGATCAAAATGGTGAGGCAGGAGATAACGGTACAAAACTATTGCTGTAAGGCTTGATGAATGTGTAGTGAAAGCAATCCCTTACTTTGCACTGTAGTTAAAATTAAGTAAATTACATAACAAAGTAAAAGCTCGAATGCAACAAATTAATTTGGTTCATATATGCTCGAGTGCAAGTATAATGTTGCATAATTAATTTGCATAACAAATTAAAATTTATAGTATCGTGTTCATCGGGATACGGTGAAACGACCAGATGAAGTGAGCGAAATAATGAGCGAAGAAGAATATCGAAAAGCTCGGATATACAGACTTGATAAGCATCGCTTCTCTTTCGTATACTCAACATACTTGCAGTTGGAGTTAATGGTAAGTTACACGCACTTTCCTTTTCAAACACTTTTGATTTAAAACTTGTACAAATAAAAATGCTTGACTTGAATCTTTGAAATATTCTTCGTTGCATTCAAGTTTTGGAATTGCAGGTTATCCTAATATTCTCCTTACCTCATATTTTATGGAACATAAGTGGAGCTTTCAATGTAGGATTTGGGTTTACGAGCGAAGTAGGTTTTTTACATATGTTACAACAAGTTCCCATTTTTCTCTTTATGAAGAAAGAGGGCGATGGAATATGCTTCTTTTGTTCAATGCCTCAAATTGCATATATTTCCTAAATGACTGCTGAATTTATTAGCAGTGCATAGATTTTGGTTAGAACGATTAGAGAACAAAAATTGGCGTTCCAGATTGCTCAGACAATGACTTTCATATCATTACTAGCGGTTATTGAATGTCTAACAAGTATGCCATGGCAGCTTTATGATACATTCATAATTGAGGAAAAACACGGGTTTAATAAGCAGGTAATTTTTATATAATTGCAACTTTCAAAGCCGTGTTTTTTTATTAAAAGTAGTATGATCAGATTGTAATGAACATACTCGTATTTTAAACAAAAGGAGCGAATAAGATAAAGTTCATGTATTGAGCATGAATTTTGAATTATGTTTCGGAGTTGCTGACAGAAGGATTATTCTTATTACGAATATGTATTTAATCATTTCCAAATCAAAGATTTGAGAAAGAAATTTTCAGACGCTGGGTTTTTTTCTCAAAGATAAAGCTAAGAAGACGGTAGTATCATTATTATTGATGGCACCAATAGTAGCTACAGTTGTGTACATTGTGGAACGTGGAGGACCATATTTCTTCTTTTACATTTGGATCTTCCTCTCAGTTGTCATATTTGTAAGCTTTTTTCTCAATAAAGGTTTGAAGATTGTATTATGATTATTTCTTTTAAAAAGAACTTCGATGTTTGAAAATTTCAGCTGTTAATGACGGTTTATCCTGAATTCATAGCTCCATTATTCGACAAATATGTTCCACTCCCTGAAAGCGAACTGAAGGAAAAAATCGAGAAACTTGCTGAAACTCTAAACTTTCCGCTGAAGAAACTGCTCGTTGTCTATGGTAAAGTGATTTGGATCCTTCATATCCTTTTCGTTAAATTTCTTGTACAATTCAAATGGTAGAAATTTATTGAACAGCATAATGCGAATCACTAACTCCATTTTCTATATTTTGAGGTTCCAAACGATCAGCACATAGCAACGCTTATTTTTACGGTATATGGAACAATAAACGTATTGTGCTTTATGACACGCTATTTGGTGAAGAAATGAAAGCAAAGCTAAAGGAGAATACATGCTTTTCTACAGTCAGTGGTCATTTTATTGGCGGTATTATTGATTAACTTAATATATTGGAGTATTATTGATTAACTTAATATCATTTAAGAAAACTAAATCAGCATATGAGCTGATGTTTTAAAAGGTGATTTATCCTACAGCTTTTCAATCTACAGCTTACTCAAATTAAAAAAAGTGGATAAATTCCACAGTTATAATATTTTTATATCTTTTTTTTAATATTTTTAGGAGAAGGACGAAAAAAGCTGCGACAAGGTGGATGACGAAGGAATAAAAGAGCACAAATTGGGTGTGCAAGACAATGAAATTCTAGCTGTCCTTGGCCATGAACTTGGACATTGGGCTCATTGGCATACAGTTATTCATCTCCTTCTTACTGAGGTAATTTTTACTGGAAAATACGTTTTGAAAAAAAACTTTTCTTTGCATATTTCAATGTTTGAAATAACGTGTGTATTTTCTTAATTATCAAACTATAAGAATCTGATTTGCTAGTGTTTAGATAAATTTGTTGCTGCTACTTGCTATATTTGCGAAGTTCTATCAAGCTACTTCACTTTTCCATGCATTTGGCTTCTACGATTCAAAACCAACGATTATTGGATTCATGATCGTTTTCCAATATATCACCGCTCCATATAATGAATTGTTCTCTTTCCTTTTGACGGTAAATATTTGAAAATTGTTCCTGTAACTTTAATCGACTAATCGCGGGTATTGCATTTCCCAAAAAACAATTTGATCGTTCTCTTTTTTTGGATTTATAATGGTGGTCCTCAATACTCATTTAAAGTGAGCTAGATTGTTGAATATTCAATCTGCATTTGTAGATAATGTCGAGACGATTGGAATTTGCAGCGGATCGTTTCTCAGAAAGACTTGGTTATGGAAATGAGTTGTGCAGAGCATTGATCAAACTTGGCAAGGATAATCTAGTTTTACCGGTAGACGATCCGCTCTACTCGATGTTCAACCGTTCACATCCATCAGTATTAGAACGGATTGCTGCCCTCAAGAAAGTTAAATGATTTGGCTTTTATTTTTTGCTTGTTGGTGTGAATTGAAATAGCTTCCGGTTTTTCCTTCTTCTATTTTCGTAGTTCTTGTTTTTATGTTCTAACTTTTAATATGTTGATTTTGTTGTTCATGAAACTGTATGTGTTTTTAATAATGCTTAATGCTACTTATTTAGTCACTTTGGTTTTAATGAGTAGATGACTCTAAAATTATCTGGTCCTATAAGAAAGCAAAACTACCTCCCTGAAACAAGGGAATTGCGGTATTCTTAGACTTCCTCAGAGAATACACACATTATTAATTTTTGGAAAGGTCTTACAGAATACTTCGAAAGATCGAAGAGGTTCGGTGTGATGCCCCAATTTTAAGATAGCATATTATATTTGAAATTTATTGCTAACTGATTCTGCACAATGATCTTTACTACCATCTTTGATCTTCAAAACTGCGCTATATGTTGTTTCTTCAGTAATTTCAAGTTGATTATGGTATCCAATATGCCATTTGACAATAGCGTAATTAAACAATCTCCACCCATACTGTTATGTTGAGTGCATTGGCAGACAATTCAGAAAAGAAACCTCTTATCTTGCTGTAAACCTTTCAGTGTAGTTTATAATAGTTTATCACTGAAAACTTGAATTGAGATTTTTGGGATGATGGATTACATGATTTAACTCTTGCAGCAATAGCGCCTAGTTCTGAATTACATAGAACGACGTTGAGGCTTGTCAGCATGATGACACAAGATTGCGGAGAACAATGTCTGAAAGTACGTGGGAATAACTGGGCTGAACACGTTAAACCTATTGGTTCACATGTGATATAAGCTTTTATTTTTCATTTGAAGTAATTAACATTAACAAAGAACAAATGGCCAAGAAAAAACTCAATAAAGGAAACGGGAGGAATTGAGATAACAGAAAAAATCAATAGAGCAATAAGTACGACGTGGGATTGTCAGTCCGAATCTGCGAATACTATTTTGGTAGTTTTCCTCGGTTTATTGTCCTCGGGTACTGTTTTTCTCAATTTCTTTTCAGGCGTATCTTCTGTCGTTTCCTCAGCTGATCTCTGCAAAAAGTATTAATGACAATTACAATACATTCGGTTGTCATACAACTTGAGAGAAACCTGTATGTATTTATGCGCAAAAGAATCTCAATCATATTAACGAATTTATTAAATCTACACTTAAATCTATAATGGAAAAGGCATCACTGTGCTCTGATTTACCTTTTCGCCTCGTGTCACACCATTCCGTGCACTACTTCGCCCTCGACCACGGCCTCGAACCTTAGCTCCCCGTCGATTTTTGGCTATCCGCGCCTGCTTATCAGCTTTCTTTTTACTGAAGTTATTCCAATATTCCTCCTCATCTTCGCCTTCAAGTACTGTTCCCTTGAGCTCATTCCCACCGAATATAACTTTTCCATCTCCTTTTTCTGCCGCCACTTTCCAAGCAACAGCAGCACCATTTTCCTCACCGCCAAAACGAATCTGGGCCTTAGAAATTATTTATTAGAATTAAAAAAAACCCGCCGCGTTATAAATAATCGAAATGTTTTGAGCAGAATACACATCCTACCCATGCTAAGTGAAAGGAAAAAGTTATATAACTTACCTTTTCATCGCCCTTTTCGTACACAACATACTGAACATCACCGAATTGTTTGAAAAAATCTTTAACTTTTGCGAGATCGCAATCCTCCTTTGGAATATTTTCCACTGATAGCACTAATCCTTTGGCAAAATGTACCACCTCCAGGTTCTTTTTTTTTGACTCTGCTTCGGCAGCCTTCTAGAAATAAAAGATTAAGGGAAGAAAAACCGAAATGATTTATGTGCAAAGGAAGTTAGTGAAGTCAAAAACCGATCTAACTCAAAAATAGAAGACATAACTGTTCAGTGACCTTTTTTGCTTGCTTAGCAGCGCGAGCAGCAAGTCGTTTTTCCTTCAATTCTTTTTGCTTATTTGCCCAATAATCGTTTCTGAAAAATACTACTCCATTAACATGGAAAAAATCAACATGATGTATGAAATAGGACAAAAATGGTACAATACCTCTTGTATCCGAAACTAAATATATAAATATATTCTTAGTGTTTTTTCATATACCTTTTCAGGTCTTAAAAACTTTATTTATTAATACTTATAGGAAGAAAGTTGAACACATTTGCAAAACTGTATAGAAAACATTGGGAAGATAAAAATCTTACTGCATCATTTTCAAAAGATCATTGCCATTGAACTGTTTGGTACCACTATTAACAAAAGCTTCTGCTTTCTCTTGATCTTTATAGGTGACGAAAACCGAGCCTTTGAAAGCTCGCTTTTCTGACTTTTCACGACGCATCATTACATTTTCAACACTACCAAACTGTTTAACGAAATTTAAAATGTCATCCAATTTCGTGTCTCGTTCGAAGCCTTTCTAAAAAAATACATTTCATGTTCTATTTCGCGAAAGTAACAAAATAAAGCTATAAAGGATTTTTTATGACAAAAAGCGGTCATCCAATTCAAACGCAATTTTTTCTACTCTAATCTACAGAATATAAACTCCACTGAACCTTTCGCCACTCAGGGACTCTATATGAAAGAACTCTGTAATCTTCGTTGCTTACTGTAAAGAAGTAAAATAACTCACAATATATACAGTACGTCGTTTCACAACTTGCCAATACTCAAGCGAATTTTCTGGTAGTGGTACTTCAGGATTACGTCGTATTTTGCTACCATCTTCAGACACTTGCATCAGTTTCGAATGCTTCAAAGACTCTGCGATTATTGTGGGATCAGAAGAGATTTGTGCCAAACGATTAAATTTCAACATCGTTGTGAGTTGGACCCCTAAATGCAAAAAAAGCACTTGGTGTTTAAAGTGGGAGGATGTTTAAATAATATATACAAAGAATTCACTTTATCTTTAATATTCTCCAATGCAACACTAGTTACTATCAGGTTCGAATTTAAAAAAAGAATATTGGGTCATAATAGTTATTTGCTTTTTTTAGAGATCTATTATAGGATATGAAATAAGCCTTTACATAAACGCAGCAAAATTACTTACACCCGTCATCTTTTTTAATTTCTTCCTGTAGAAATCGATCTCGAGGTAAGTTAATATCGCCAAAATAATACTGAAAATAAAAATAATGATGGAATGAGAGATTATCACCTCATAGTATGAAAGTTGTAACTTTATATGTCACTCGACAATCTATCCTTTTTACTTAACTGATAATTCTATTTAATTAATGATATGACAATACGATGATTAGTATTATAACAATCTGCAGAAGGCAAGTTGAGAGCCTTCTGTAAAGCCGGTATCATATGCATTTTGTTGTCAAAAACTAAAAAATGAAAAAATCTGAAACTGTTGTCCATTTACTTCAACTTGTTCAATAATCTTCTGCTGAATCTTCGTGTTATTGTCATTGTCGGCTAGCATTTTTTTCACATTCGTACCGTTTCCAGAACGTGTATTGGCATCAGTACCACTGTTTTTTACGCTCTCTCCATTGCTATTTGCTGTAGTTTTATCATTATTAATAGTCGATTTTTCATTCCTTTGATCACCGATTGCTTCTTGATCGGTCTCCATAGATATTGACTTTTCTTGAGATCCTAAATTAAAGAGACGTACTTTATAAAACACAATATTCTTTTTGTATCGAAGTGTAATACAAAATCCGAGCTGTGTAACCTAAACAGATTGATTCAACAATTAGAACGATCAAATAACCTGATAATTGGATAAAATCAATCAGTTTGTTTAATTAATCGAATTTAACAATTAGATCACTCAAATTATCTGATAACTGGAAAAGAAACAAGTCACGAGAGACATGAAATATGATGCTTAAAGATATGATCAATAGAGTATTAGAATACTTCTACGAAAAGAATACATTATAGTTGTGCGCGAAATGCAAGGCCCTCAATTAGCGACAGGAAATGAGGGTGATTGAATGAGTAGCAATAGTATATGCGAGTAATCGATCCGGCAAAAGAAAAACAACTGCGGGTAAATTGTTTAGAAAGAATGACGAGTATCTTACCCAAATTTATCCTCTCCCTCTCTCATGTATATAATTGGATCCACTCTCTCTCTCACATATATAATTGATCCTCTCCCTTTCTCACGTATATAACTGATCCTCT